GTATTGTGTATAATTGGAGTTCTCATTGAACATTATGGACAAATTAAAGAAAGCAAAACAAGTTAACATTACATTGTATAAGTAGTTAGTAATTTAAAGTGAACAGCAACAACAACATAAAAAGATGTAAGACACTAAGCCCTAAGCTTAACTCTAAGGAAGCCAAATCGAAGATTGAATACCACAAAATAAAAAATAAAATAAATAAAATAAAAACTATATTAAAACCGAAAGAAGAAATTGGTGAGTAACACACCTATATAATAAAATAAAATAAAAAAATAAAACCAATTCTAAAAATGTGTAAATCATAAAACAACTCACCCTGTATTTAAAAATTGTAACTGTGAAAAAAGCATTTTATTACAATTGGTGTTCGAATTGTAATAGAATGGCTGACGATATCCAGAAGTGCATGGAGAAAAGCAGAATTCGTGCATTTTCAAAGCACACACTCAAAACATTTTGCCAAATATGAACGCATTTAAAAACACTCATAAATAAATAAAAAAGATATGCTACAAGGCATAAACATTGTAAAAAAATCACAAGCGGATGCGCTTACAAATTAAATGAAAATTAACATGAATAAAAACAACTTTTAAACTTAACAAAAAAAAAAGTATTTAACGATGTAAAAAATATATTTAAAAAAAATCATAAAAATCTAAATTGTTGTGGTAGACACTGGAGCGTCAGTAACAATGCAATAAATGTATACAGAAAAAAAATAAATATCAAAGGCTGCAAATTTTAATTTACATACATTATTGATCGATAAAGAGGTAAGTGAAATAAAATTATTTCTAGGAATCATTTTAAATTCGTCGAAAGTCGAAAGTTTTATGTTCTCACCGCCTGTTCTATAACGAAAAAAAATTATACTCGTATTTTTTTTATTTTGCAATCAAAAAATATTTAGGTCTCGCTCAAAGCGCTCAAAGTTTTCACTATATTTTACCTGGGGAAAGCCCAATTTTTCGTAGAAACGGTATAGAATTCTTGGAAATCAATAGCGCGATTCATAAAACGTCGCGAAGTGGCATTTTTGGCGAAATGGCAATATAATTTAAAAATTCAAAACACAAACTCTCAAAGATATTCTCATTTTCAATCTCAAACAACAACAGTTGTGAACAATTTAATTTTTTTTTTTATTGTCGCAACTCCGGATTGCAAATGTAAAATTAAAAAAAAAAAAGTTTTTACAATTAAACTTCGAAGCAGCTTTAACTGATATATTTTTCTTGAAGTATGTCAAGACAATAAAAAACATGCGTTCCGCGACTTTGAGTTTGCAATGAATGCCACATAAAATATTATGGCAATGTCGCAATTTTTTCGCAAGAAAGCTTTCATACAAAAGTAATCAGCTGTGTCGCAAGGTGGCAAATTTTGCTAAAAATGCGACATTTTTATTGGAAGTCTCCGGAAGAGAAAGAGTTTTCTGATCGAAAATATTGATTTTCAAGAATTCTACCATTTGCACAAAAAAATATATATAAAATACATGGAAAACTTTGAGCGCTTTGAGCGACCCCTAAATAAATTTTTTTTATTTCAAAATAAAAACGGGTATATTTTTTCGGTATAGCTTAAACCACGAAGCTCTCTTAACTGTCAAAATTTTTATGAAATATTTATCGAATTTAGAATTTTCTTGTTATTCGATTTCATTTTTCTTACATAAAACTTGGTACTAAGCAGTTCCACGTATATTTTCCTTTTGTAGCCAAGTGGTTAGAGATGTAACACACAACAGCTATGAACAATTTCTTTTTTATTCTCAATTTTCTATATAAAATAATCGGATGAAAAATATTGATGAATGCGTTACCCTCAGCGTAAATTTTTTGATTTTCATTACAACCGTAAAGATTTCAAAGCAAAATCAAATTTGTGCGCCAAAATTGGTGGTGGAAATTAATATTTTATTTAGCAAATAATTTTTATTAAAAAATCTCACAAATATTTTTCTTCATTCTTCTCACCCGCATACATATCTGAAGCCTTTTTACAAAAAAGTGTTTAGCACTTGAATATGCATACAAAGATCGTTAAAGAACTCACATGCTTGCCTAATAAATCTAAAACTTTTTACGAAAATTAACTTTTATTCTGCTCTTTCTCTCTATTTATGCAATAGAGCTAACACATCAATACCCACGTAACAACCCTAATACATTTTTTTTTTAATAATACCAGAATAACTTAAACTAATTGCTTTCAAATATTGAAAGGGTGGTATATTTAATTCCGGTTATGTCCTGTAATGACTTCATCTTTACGTAAAGGAATTAATTCAGTGTGGCAACACACAAATGTCAAGCAATATCGAAAATCTATTACAATAAGGAAGAATTTCGAATCTGGCACAGCACTTCGAAAGCAAAGTGACAATCTGCCATTTTGTCAACGCTCCCAGTGGCATCCGCAACGTAAGTTCATTTTTCTTCAGAAAAGAAGCAGTTTTACATACAAAAATGTGAAATCTTAAAGAAAAAGTTAGTGCAATATAAAATCTATAAGTTAATTTAGTATACATATGTTTACTTAAGAGTCATTAATGCATAATTTGTTAATTTTTGCTGACCACATTCCGACACGTGTATAGTTAATCTTTGAGGTTATGGATAATACACCACTAATTTTTAACTTACTTTTTTCCGCCCTACAGGTTCCGTAACTCTTAATACGTTAAAATGTCGGGAGGCTTAGATATTCTGTCCCTTAAAGAGGATGATATCACCAAGATGTTGTTGGCCTTCACCCATTTGGGTTCGGATAACGTCAACTTCCAAATGGAACAGTACGTTTACAAGCGCCGCTCTGATGGTATCAACATCATCAATCTGGGCAAGACCTGGGAAAAGCTGATGTTGGCTGCCCGCGCCATTGCCGCCATCGAGTACCCACAAGATGTAAGTGGTAAATAAAAACTATACCGTTATATATATGTTAGCATGTTCCCGGATTGCAGAATTCGTAGGTTTTACGGGAAAGCTGTTGGGCCCCGTCGCATAAGGATTATTTCAGGTGAAAACAGCTTTCTAAGTAAATACCTNTAGAATTCGCAGGTTTTACGGGAAAGCTGTTGGCCACGTCGCATAAGGATTATTTCAGGTGAAAACAGCTTTCTAAGTAAATACCTTAAAACTTGCAAATTGTGGAGCACGTGAACAGGCTAATATGTTTGTACAGTGTGCACATGATGATTTTTTTCTAATCTTTCGGGTCTGAAATTCAATGAAGCCAACCTAACCGCTGATGGCACACTAAACAAATTTATTAGAGAATCGTTCTAATTTATAGGAAATGTACATTTCTAATAAATGACGTTATTTCAGGTCTTCGTCATTTCGTCGCGTCCCATTGGTCAGCGTGCTGTACTGAAGTTCGCTAAGTACACCGATACAACACCAATTGCTGGCCGTTTCACTCCTGGTGCATTTACCAATCAAATTCAACCGGCTTTCCGTGAACCTCGTCTGTTGGTGGTTACTGACCCAAACACCGATCATCAGCCCATCATGGAAGCTTCATATGTGAACATCCCCGTCATCGCATTCTGCAACACTGATTCGCCTCTGCGTTATATTGATATTGCTATTCCATGTAACAACAAGGCACCTCACTCCATCGGTTTGATGTGGTGGCTGTTGGCACGTGAAGTACTCCGTCTGCGCGGAACAATCTCGCGTGTCACTGAGTGGCCAGTTGTGGTCGATTTGTACTTCTACCGCGATCCTGAGGAAGCTGAGAAGGAAGAAGCCACTGCCAAGGAGTTGTTGCCACCTCCCAAGGTTGAAGAGGTTGTTGAACATCCAGTTGAGGAAGCTACCAACTGGGCTGATGAAGTTGCCGCTGAGACTCCTGGTGGAACTGAAGACTGGAATGACGATGCCGTCAAGACTTCATGGGGTGGAGATGGTAACTTCTAAAGCATTGGCACAGAATTCGAAATAAAGAGTTTTGTGAAAAATTAACTCTGTAGGCGATGGCTAAATGACCGAAATAAAGTAATTTTATTGGTACATCAATTGGACTATTTTTTTACCATGTTTGTTGTGTTGTATTTGATTCCTTAATGAGTGGAAGGGTTTTTGTGGTTGCGCCTCAGCTTTGCACTTCCTGCCTTGATATGCCCCTAAAAGTATGCTTCGCCAAATCGCTTCCGCCAAACGTAGCAGGAGGAAAAATTCTGGTGCTGATACTTGCTGAGCATTTCTGGGTGCCTGGTGTTTTTCGGTCTATGAATTATGATTATGGTGCGGATACTTGCTGTGCATGAGTGCCGGGTTTTTTGTCTATAGGAAAACTAAATTGCCTTTTAGAAAATTCGAAATAAAACACTGCAATTTTGTGTAAAAATANTTCTGAGTGCCGGGTTTTTTTGTCTATAGGAAAACTAAACTTGCCTTTTAGAAAATTCGAAATAAAACACTGCAATTTTGTGTAAAAATAATCTATTTATTATTAAATTTGTATATTCAATTAGTGTTTTTATTACGAATTTATATATTTAATTTTCTAGTCTAGAGAAAAAGTAGTTTGGATAAATGGAAATAAACTTAAAAAGTAGATTATGCAATTTTAAACTTGATTTTCTCACAAAAAGAAGTTTTTTGAAAATAAACTTGCGCATTGTCAATAGTTAGCGAAGGAATTTGCAAAATATGCACAGCTTTGATAATACCAGAAAAAAAAAGTAACAAAAATTTAAAGAAAAAATTAAATCACTTATAGCTACAATCAAATATATAGTTTTTTCGCATTAAATCAATAAAAAAATTCCAAGCCGATATTTTATAATACACTGTCATCATGGATTAGTTATTGGGGTAATATACAATACAATACATGAACTCCGGCACGGCTCAGTATTTTATCATACGAATATTTTTTGTTTATAAAATGTGACCATTANGTAACAAAAATTTAAAGAAAAAATAAAATCACTTATAGCTACAATCAAATATATAGTTTTTTCGCATTAAATCAATAAAAAATTCCAAGCCGATATTTTATAATACACTGTCGTCACGGATTAGTTATTGGGGTAATATACAATACAATACATGAACTCCGGCACGGCTCTCAGTATTTTATCATACGAATATTTTTTGTTTATAAAATGTGACCATTAAGTGTGTTAACACAAATGTAAATAATTGAATCGTATAGCTATTATATTTCTATTGTGGTATAGACTTTCTTTTTATTGTGGTGATTTTATGCGGGAGCTTCAAGATTTTTTAGTATAATTTATAAAATTGTGTTATTTATTGCGATAACATGTTATTCATTTTGTTGTTAAATATGAATATTCCAAAAACTTACAAATTTAAAATAATAGCAATAATAATAAGCATAGTAATAAGTGACAATAAAAACGTTCGTACATTTCGATATAAAAATTATACATTTCTTATTGTTCAAAGTGTTATTTAAGTATGCATCGATATTTCGCGGTATTTATAGATATTGTTTGTTTTTTATTTTTTTTTGTGTTTTGATATTTTAATTGATATTTATGTATATTAACATGTGGCGTTCAAATCATTTTTATAACTATATATCTATGTATTACTGTGGTTGTTGGTAGGAGTCTACTTGAAAGGATTTGGTCGTGCTTTAAATGTAGTGAGCTTTCGCAACTCCTTAATGCGTGCTTCTTCACGTTTTTTACGTTCTTCTTCTTCCTGAAATAAAGGAAAGTATTGCAACACGATTAGTCATTGAAAAGAAATCTAATGGGTCGATTACGGATGGCAACCGAACTTCAGTTGGGCGGCCAGTGGCTAAAATGGTATTACAGATGGCAACTGGCAACTGAGTTGCTATATTGGCCACTGTATTTTTGTGGTTGCCGCGGAAATTTTCATTTAGATAATTTATTTATTTTTTTAACTATTTCTTCAGCTTATTTACATTCAAGTCTTAGTTGCTGGTATTGTATTACCTTCAACTTAATAGAACTTAACTATAGTTGCTATTCATAATATACATACATGTGCATGGCATCTGTCGGATACCGGAGTAGGTATGACATTTTCATTTCAGCGGCGTTGCCCATCGCCAACCCAACTGAGGTTGCGTTGACATCTATAATCGACCCAAATAAAACACATATGCATGTATGTCTGAACATTACACCACGTCTAAATTAAACAAATCGCGCAATACGACCGGCTTAAGACTCAAATTTTATCATTTGGTATAGTAACGATCCTCCATGAATCTCACCTCTCTAGGACAATTGTAAGAGGTGCCGCCGCGAGCCTTTAGTTTTCCCATTGAAATTACACGTAAGAAAATGAGTTATTTGCTTTTGGGTAATATCATTTTCTAGGATCAATGAAAGCGCTCGAAACTGTTATATTACATTGATTACATCCTTTTAAAAAAGGATAATTTAGGAATTTAAATAATCTGAGCCTGCTTAATTCTTAAATGACATGTAATCAATCTCAATCCTCTGTACAGTCCTGATTTGACACCCAATGATTTCTTCTTATTCCGGCATCTTAAACTACATCTATGGCAAGTTAATCGTTAAAATATTCTTTAGGAACCCGATGAAATATTGCTCTAAAGAGAAAATGGCCTATCACGACTTAGGCTACTTTAACTAACGGGCACAGATATATGTACATGGAAACAGTGGTAGCTTCTATGTATATGAACTGTATCTATTATGGAAAACGTTTTTGTCTTTGAAAACCTCTGGTAGTCATTCAAACAATCACACAGGCAACAAACGGATAGTGCAGAGATTGGATTTCAAAATAGAAGTAAATATGGATATTCGCTAACGTAAGTAATTACAGCGAGTTCAGCTTTTGAATTTCTTTAATTTTTTATGCAACGGTGCATGTGCTCCATTTCAAGAAAGAAAACATACGTTGAGCAGAGATGAAAGAAAAATGCAAAGTTTTTAATTTACACTCAACAATGCATGGTTGTAACCACGCGGTGAAAGAAAACAATAAAAAATCGCAGGCAGACGGGTGGCACAAGAAGTAAAGCACTGAAGAACAAATAGCGCCAGACCGCGGCAAACAAACAGTCAGCCAAAAGGCAAGGAGAAGGCGCAAACAAGCAGTACATCACATTGGTGACGCTTGAAGTCAACAAGGCAGAACAAGTGAAATTATCGCAGAGTACATTTCTATAGGTAGGTGCTGCAAATAACTAGAAATATGTAAATGTAATCACAAAAATAAACGGAGGAGTTTTATAAACTAAAAGAAGCAACGACAAAAGCGTCTGCTCGGGAGAGCACCGTTGTTGTAGCACAACACAAGTCTGCTATTTTTATAATAGACCAGCCCAGACCCATGAACTGTGCCTTTGTATGTGAATATATGTAATTATGTTTGTATGTATAAATCAAATCAAATCCCCAACGTCGTACGTCTGGCAGCAAAGCTCAACAGAACAGTGGGGCACGGCAGTAGGAGGTACTAAAAAAAAATAATAATGAAAAGAGTGCAAACCACGCACGCCACATCAGATAGTTACATACAGTGACGGGCAAAACTGTAACATGGTGTAACACTTTTTACTTCAGCCATCGCTATCTTTCCAAGTTCTAACGACTTTCATACTTTTGCTGTATATTCTTGTTGGTACATCCCTACTCCCTCCCTCATAATGATTTGAAGTCAATACAACAACAATAAAAAAACCAGCAGACAAAAATGTAAATTAAGGCAGATGTTACAGTTTTGCACTCATATATTTTTAAGAGCTTTTTAACAATTTTCACGAAAAAAAAGCACTACTAGCACAATGTTCAGTACTCTTTTGCTTGTTTCAGTTCCTGGAAACGATTTGGCATACCTTATTTGTATCTCTGTAAAAATTCTGGAGGTATATCCTTAGTTTGCTTTCACAGCTCATGTACTCGATTTTACGGACTTGGATACTAAGTAAGCTGTGCTTTTAGTTGTTTTCGCAAATTCTCAATGAGATTCATGTCCGCGCATTGTGGAGGTCATTTGAAATTAGCAAATTTTTCCTTTTGTATCCAGTCTTTGCGAATATGTGCAGTGTGTTTTGGGTGATTTTTCAGCAGAAACTCTCATTTTTTCGACTACATCTTGCAAATTTTGTTGAAATATGAACAGATACTGTTCCTCACGCATAATGTGTACTAACAGACCAAGAAAATTTTTGAAATACAACGCAAAACTATTATTGACCGACCACTGTTATTCACAGTTTGCCTTACATGCTGCGCATGGGCTTAATTTGGGTCTTTTAATACCATGCCCGGCCATCTGATTGAAAGCGATTAATTTAGTCTTTTCGGACCAAATAACCTTCAATTGAAACTTAAAAATATGTTTTTTATTGTATTCTGAACGGTCTAACATATCCCAATAGGCAACGGTTCGGTTTTCGTGTGTACAGCAAAATGCTGCCGCACTCGCACCTGTATTTTTAACAAATTTGCTTTTTTCTTCTTTGTGATGCCTTTGCGCTCAATTTTGGAATTCTTCGCCTCGCTGTCCATTGATTTGCGTTAAAGTTTAATACCTTAAGCGCTTCTGTAATAGTGGCTGCATCGCTACTTGCTGCTAAGTTCACAAGATATCGTACCGTAATATTTTTTGACGACCTCCTTTGTCCATGGGAACACTTTAGGCTATATTTTTTCTCAGTCTTAACATTTTCAAGTAGCAAATTCCAAAATTTTTTGCCACTTTTCGTGCGGTCCCGCCTTTCCGCAGTAAATCTATTATTTACATTTATGGTTCCTGATTAACTATATTATTTACTGGTGATCACTTCGTCAATAAATTACAATACAGAAAAAAGTCATCTGACTTCCAACTACATAAGAGATAACTGTCAAATGTAAAACTGAGAGTGAGTGCAAAACTGTAGCGTCTGCCTCAATTTACATTTTTGTCTGCTGGTTTTTTTATTGTTGTTGTATTGACTTCAAATCGTTATGAGAGAGGGAGCAGGGATGTGCCAACAAGAATATACAACAAAAGGATGAAAGTCTTTTGAACTTGGAAATATAGCGATGGCTGCATTAAAAAGAGTTACACCATGTTACAGTTTTGCTCGTCACTGTAAGTATTAATAGAGGAAAGGAAGCTGAAGGAAAAAACTAGTGTTGCCGCACGCCAGAAAGAAAAAAAAAAATGAAAATGAAACAGGCTATAAAGCACGAAAAAAGGGAGAGGCATACGCGCGCAAGGGATGTGCGAGTGTGTGAGCTGTTAGGCGCTGGCAGGTGCGCTTTGCTTTGTGCGACAGCAGCAGCGTTTCATAATTAATAGCTGCACATTCTTTGCTCCACCTACAACTTTGCTCTTTTCTACAACTTTGCTGAACATTTTATTCGCTGCTGCTTTCATTCACNTTAGCTGATAAAAGTCTAAAGGTCAATACGAATTTGCTGCACTGGCGCAAAAAAGTTAGACAACACAAACAACAATTAAATTGGTACACTTTCGAAAAACGTTCACCAAATTTTCAAAATTTTAAGTCAGCACTTTTAGAAACATTTTTAGAATTCAGTTGTATAGCCCATTAGGATGACAAAGTTCAAGGACCTACAAATACCTTTGGGCTTTCATAATTTTTTAAGATGATGATGTTGTGCATTTGCTTCGATATCAATGACTAAGTGGAAAATCGACCTACCTCGGCAGCCAGTTCGAAAATGCCCTCTCTCAGAATTTGGTTGAAGAACGCCCTATTTTAGAAATTGATTGCGCAGAATTCGGTTCAAAAACGCCCTAGTAAAATCATTTTGCATTCTCAGGTCAATTTTATGGTCAAAATATGTAGGCAATTTTTTGCCAGGGTGTTACATACATATCGCTCATTAACTTCAATAGTGTCACAACTAAAAAAAGCAACACTCGAGAAAATTTTGTATTTACATACAGTGAAGCTTTATATTTTGTTCATAAATATAATACCAGCTCTTTTTGAATATAATGATTCGAAACGTTAGTTATATTTAACTGTAAACAAACTATAAAAAAAGCATACAAAAGTTTTAGCATATTTTACGGGGATATGTATATTTGTTTTTTTTTTTGTTTTTTTTTTGTGAAATTTTTGAAAATAAATCTTATTTTTTATTTGACCGAAGAATGCAAAACGATTCGACGGTTTTACCGTAGGGGTCCTAGACCTTTTATCCTGATTTGGAATCATTCCGCCCCAAAAATTGTGTCCCATTGTGTATCTAGGGTTTACAGAATCCACAATCCACATTCTACAATTAACTTTTTTCCTACGCCTCCATTTTTGCTAACGAAGGTAAGAATGAAATTTCTAACTAAGACATCGTTCATCCGAAACTTTTTACATCGTTATTATAGAAAGTACATTAGCCTGAATGTCTTCTGTTGAAAAGGAATTAATTAACTTGCATCTAAAATTTGAAAACATTGTGAATGAACATAAGTATATTAAATAAACGACTTTAATGACTCCTACGTGCGTACATAGAGTGAGTCAATAACATAAAGGCCTCTGATAAATTGTGCCTTACTCATTGGCTTTCTTCAGAACTTTGCACTTTATAATTTTTAGAACAAATCCAGCCACAATAATGCACTTTCAGTCGGATAGTTGGCTGATAATTCGAACTTTACAGCTAGAGGAATTGAATCATCATTACAAGTGCATTCGAGCTAACGCCAACTTAAGTGTATAAATTGTGGAATAGGTGTCAGTGAATTCCCATAGCAGCATTCAATCATTATACATATCAGCAACGTATTAAACATTAAAAAAAACGGTAATTATTATGGTTTGCAAAAGCAATCTTATCTGCATAAAGAAGAAGAACAAACACAACTGAATATTTAAATTATATTTAAAATAAGATTTACATACGTATTTACTACGTTAACGATTTTCGTTTTGTTTGCAGAAGCAAAGAAAAGAAATTTACTCGCTGCGGCTTATCTGATAACAATTTCATGCCAAGAAATTAAGTCAGCAGATAAGAAAATGCGAATCTGCAATAGCGTGAATGCAAATACATATCGTCGTTTAAAGTACAAAACCGTGTATCAAAAAAATGCACAACCTCGCATGTGTAGGTCGCTTGACCAGACTCCTAGATGGTACAGGTGACTTCTTAACCTACAATGGCCCGTCACATCGTACCATGTTAGTAAGCTTTTGAAAATTTTAATTCGAGTAAAAATATTATTAATTCTTAGTGGTCCGGCCAGATTAGACAAAAAGTATTAAGCTAAAATAATTCGCATAGAGCATAAAATTTGTGCAGGTATCATCATAGCTAATGTTACGGAAAACTAAACGAAACTCTGAAAGTTTAAAGAAAGTTTTTTACTCTGAAATACATATGTATCTGTGACTATGTCCATAGTAACCTTGAAAATGCAATCCTTATTATATTATGAATCCCACCCGCAGCGACAAAAAATTATACAGAAAAAATTTACCAAATTGTAAATTTTATGAATTTATATGTCCAAAACGTAACACTGATATTTACCAACGATTCTCGAGGCTGTTTTCTCGACTAATTTGCCTCTAAAGTTTTGGGGACACACAAAAAGATTAACTTAAAAAACTATATACGCAAAGATATCCAAATCGTACAAAAGAGGAAACAAATTATGAATAAGCAAAATAAAGCGGCAAAATGAGTAGAATGTAGACGCAAGTACAGGCAATTCTTCTGAGAACCCAATAAAGCAACTTGTTTGCTAATAAACATATACAGATAAGATTAACTCAATACTTTTGAACGTTGTTATTCTTGTAGTGGTACTACTACGCCCCGCTTAGGTCGATACGTATTAAGCAGTAATGTGCGATTATTCAAGTCTCTAGCAGATTTGATGATGCCAGCTACAATTACAATGCTTAAATCGCAGCCACTAGCAGTGGTGTGCAAATGAATTATGCAAATTGAAAATTGTTTTACTGCGACAAGCAGACGACGACGGCTGCAGCAAGACAGATGTACAAAATAAATTAATCTTAATAGTGAGAAGGTATGTATGAATGAATATGGAAATGTTCGTTACTGCTATTGGAATTTAAAGAAAAATATTCATGTTTTATCTCACCATTTCCAGGGAAGAATATTTTTGTTAATCCTTTTCGTTGCCAGACGAAATGCCACACCTTTTTATTACGTCCATCCTCTTGCTGTTCTGGCTGGTTTGTTTCAGTTTCTTCATTTTGTTGTTTCTGTTTTATTTTATGAATTTTTGTTTGCTTGCTTTGCTGTATATCGTCACACCCACCTCTACATCTGACATTGTGACGGCATTTGTCCCCATGCCCGTCACCGCGTTCTTCTAATAAACCCCCCACCAACGCAGTTGACTGCACGCATCAGTTGTTAAAACTGGGTGTGTGGCTGGAATTGAGCGCCGCTGATGATGCTGTAGATTCATCAGCCGACAAAGTTGTATCACCGTAGAAACGTGGTTCATCGTGCATTTCGCTAACATTGCCAGCGCCTTCCTCGTCGGAATCGTCATCCCCAGAACTATCAGCTAATTTCGATACTGCACCAGCGCCATTACCATCGATGGACGCTGCAGGTGTCCCTTGGTTTCCAGCAGTAGTTCCAAGAGCCGTTTTGGACGATTCTATTTTGACGACTTTAGACAGCCGTTCATAGCAAGCGGTACACACACGCACCGGCTTAGAGCTCTGTTGAGGTAATAGGAATTTCTTCGACGAACAAGGCCCGCAAACGACTGCTCCGCAATTACGACAATGATGACGACGTACGATCATTGTGAATTGAGTTTTCTTGCAATGCATACAGTGGGTGGCCTCAGCGTCAGGCACCCATACGGCAGCGTGATTTTCAACGGGCTTCTTGCCACTCTTGCGCAACAAATCTTCCACACACTTGTTGATGTGTGCCATCCATTCCTGCTTTTCAGTGCTGGTAGCGGCAAAAACAACAAACGATTTTGTTGTGGTACGTATGAGCCAGCCATTTCGGTATTGACCATTATCTTCTAATGATTCAAGTGACACTTCTTCCAATGGCATAATATGCTGCTTATTATATTTCTTCTTCCCAATAACAATATTACCATACACTAAGATATCATTGAAGAGGAAGAATTGTCTGGACTTTGGACGCTTGCGGCACATTTTAGTGAGAACTCCTTCGCCAACTAGCACCCGTCCAGGAATTGCCAAAGGCACGCCTGAGCTACCAAAGCAGCTTTCTACCATAGCTATACGCCTGGAGTTGGCCTCCGAGTTAACTAGGCGATCCACCATGATGACAGGTTTACACTTTGCGCCTCAATGTGTGGTTAGCAGTGATTACAAAAACCTCAGTGTAATATGTTTAAGATGTTATAGAAGGTATATACGTAGGCGGTGCACTCGATGGAACGGAGATACGCCTGCAGTTCGCTAGCTACGAAGTAGGTTACACGATTTCTTTACTTCGAGCAGTTAATCACATTTACCAAAAAATTGTCCAAGATCAACTTTCTTTTTTTTACGATTGTTTGATATTGAAACCGTAACAATTATGTAAAAATTACGGAAATATTGAATTAGATATCACGAAAAGATTTGCGTTATTTTGCAGATATTTTTTTTTGCAATATTTGCCTCGTACTTGAATATGGAATGAAAATACGCTCGAATATGAACAAAAGTCGAATTGCTTGAATTACGTTTCTGCTTTCCATTTATCACATATTTTCATCCTCGTCATTCCTTTTTTTTTTTCGTCATTCCCCATGTACGGTGTTCGCAATGAGGGCTACCAGATTGAAATAACCTAATCGGTAAAAACTTTCTTACTGAACCCTTGAAATATGGCGCTGGATAGCAGGTTTGAAAGTTAGAACATATGCAAAAAATTGATATTTTAAAATAAATGAGCAAATTTAAATAGTATAAAGCAACAGATTTAACAAAAATTTTTAAATTCTTTGCAGTCAGGGCGGCAGCTCCATCGTGCGGGCGCTACGAGTGATTGCGTACGAAAATACTCATTCGCCACCTATTGGAATTTTCCGGTTTTTGTTCATTCTGAAATGTCGGAATTTTGCTCTTTGTGGTTATGAGAACACTATAGCCAATCGATTTACATGAAATATAGCAGATTTCCGTAAATTGTACATAATTCTTACAATTTATATCGCCACAAAAACAGAAGTAAATAAAGCACAACACAAAGAAAAAACTAAAATCGCGACTAGCTCGAACGTAAATTGAGAATGAATGCAGCTTTTGCTTGAGTGAAAATGACAGTTGAGTAACAAGAATGTACAACAAAATGGAAGAAAAAGTTTTGACATAAGCGTTGATGCCACATTGCAGTAATTAAAATTTGTGCGTCGGTTTTAAAACATCAAAATACATGCAATGCAAACGACACTTTAAAACGTCTACATTCACTGGGGACATTTTACCAACACTACGAATCCTAAACATTTAAGAATATTCGTACTTTTTTCAATAGTATCGTTTGCTTTGCTTACAATTTCTACCTGTTTTTGCTTCTCCTCCATAGTCCGCAGTATTGCCGCATCATATTGTTTACGTTCTTGTAGCCGCTTCTCTGAACGAAGATTAAAAGGACATGCAACCAACACAGTTTGCGCCTTCTTGGGTACAAAAGGTTCCTCATGCAGTACTGTTGTTGGGCGCGGTTCGAATTTAGGTTGGTGTAATGGTTTTAATTCTTCCAGCTAAGTAAAATATAAACTGCAATATTATGTTTACATTTAAAGATTACTTGATATAACATACTTTTTTCTTTCGTTTTTCTTCAGCTTCAATAGACTTTTTGAGAACGACAGGCGTTACAGGCACTGTCACAGCATGTACAACTTTTTTCTGCTCCAGAGATTTGTGACATGCCCTAAAATTAGGTACTGGTCTGCTATGAAATTCACGCCATTTTCGTTCCTCTTCTAAACGCGTGCGCAACATCTCTTCTTTTCGACGTTTATAGACTTCGTTGCACTGATAAGCGTGAGGAACCGACGCCGACGCCTGTTTTGCCACTACGCCGGCCTGTGAGCAGCTACTACCATCTGCCATCATGGGCGTACTCATTTCCTTTTTTGCCCCTGGGTTAATTCGTGCTTTGTTCCGCATAATTAAAGATTCTGATAATACAACTGGTTTTGAAACCATAGATCCCATGTCATTTAAGGAAGTTTGCGAAGAAGATATTTTTTTGCTTCCTCCTGGATTGATTCGCGCTCTGTTGCGGGCAATCAGTGATTCGGAAAGAGTTATAGGGTTTGCGGGATTCGTTATGTTTGATGATTTTTTTGGGGATTCATTTATATGAACAGCTTCATTTACCTCACCGCATTCTTCATTTACAATTGGATTTATTCCTGGTTCAATTTTATGTTTTTGTACATCGGGTTTTTCGTCTTCGACCGATGTTGTTAATTGTATTTCCTTCAAAGGAGTTTTAATGGTTGATCTCGGAGTGCTTACTACGTTTAAGTTCTCCTTATCCTCAGTTACACTCAAGGTATCGTCTAAAGTAAAGGCATCTGCAACAACCACAATTGTATGACTTATTACAACTTTATATTAAACAACTTACCGATTTCTTTGAGCAAGTCCATATTACCTTCCGATTCGTCCAGACGTTCGTGTTTTATATGTTTTTTTCCTGTCATTACAGTATTGAAAAAAGGGTGGAATCAAACAAAAGTAAAGAATTTTGCCATCAAACAATTGTTTTGTTCTCATAGAACTTTGCTCACCGAAGAAATTTTGCGAATGATCAAGCACATGATTTCCAACTTCAATGTCGTCCCAGTTAAAATTATCCACTTGTAGAGTCTTTATATTTACATGCTCCATTTGATTTTGTGTATGTAGTGAACAAAACTAAATATTAAACAAAAGATTCACATTAATTTGATACACAAAATTTGGACGAAATAAAAGCAATTTAGCGCGAGCGACGTTTCAAAATCACAGTTTAAATTCGTTTTCATTTTTGACACCATTGACGATTACATGCGTTAGAACGAGAAAAAACTATTGTTTGAAAAACTGACAGCACGAAATGTAATAGATTTACAGGGTGATAAACAAATCTAAATTTACGTTAATTGCTTGTACAGGGTGGTAGACACGGAGCGCGGTTGCCACTTCCGAAAAAAATTAAAAACAAAAGCAAAATCGTTGAAGCGATTTTTTTTTGTGAAGGTACGTTACGATTTTCCTTGAATTAATCGCTGAATTCCCAAATCGTTCAGGTTCGTTTCATCGCATTGCTTAATAAACGCTCACATTACAGTACCAATAACTTTATTGCCCAAGAACCACGTAGACAATATTTGTTTAGATAATTAGTAATAAAAAAATAAAAATACTTGCTAACGCAATTGATCTCTGTACTCTGATGTAAAACTAAACTTCGCAGCTGAACTTCATGTTCAGCTCTTATATACCTGCACTCGCACTCATGACAACTCTAGAGGGTTCTTGTCGAAAGTTTTCAAACATTGCATTTTACGTTTCTTGACGTCGAAGCTTCTACATTCTTCACACTGCCCTCCACCTAATTCTGATAGGTTGTACTGTAGTTTACGGAAATAAACCTTTCTTCCGCTGTAGATTGTACAGCACGACTGACATTTCCCTAGTTGTCCTGCCTGCCACTCTTCCGCTGGTGTCTATTATGTCTTCTTTGGCCTCGGCTTCTGAACAGTGTTTAAATTCCAAGCTACATGGTCAACGGGACATGGCATCAGCATTTATGTGCATACTTACTTGCCTTTCGGTGCTCAACAGTGAAGTCATAACATTTGCAATCTCTCAATCCACCGATCGAACTCGGAAAAGTAGCCCATCCACCAACTCTAGTAGTTCACCATGAGTTAAGAAATAATTCATCTCTGGTTCTCCAATAGATCGGCTGTGGTAGGCAACCACCTTCTCCTGTCCATCATATGTCTCCTATGGTATAACCACTAGAATCCGTATCCAAATCAAATGGAGCTCCTAGTACCGGGTGCGCTAGCATAGGGGCAGTACATATGGAAAGCCTCTTCTTGCTCTTTGTTCCACTCGAATGGCTCTAGTTCTATTCATAGTGAGCTCTTGGGAGTCTAATAGTAACGCTGACACAATTCGGAACTCGGATAATAACTGCATAGTTCAATCAAACTTCGTTGCTCGTGCAAGTGCGATTTCCCCTTAGTGATGGAGATGTACCTTATGTACCCTTTTTCTTCAACCGTGAGCACTTTTTTGGAATTGGATGATGACTCTTTCAAAAGTGGCTAAAGCGTTGCATAATTCAAAGGGCATCACCGTGAATTGTCTTCCTCTCGTATATCTGATTGCCAATAACCTCATTTAAGGTCGAGTCTTGAGAACCATTTCGTGCCAGTCAGCGAGTCGAGAGTAGCATCGATTCTGGGCAATGGATGCCATCCTTCTTTGTCACATCATTTAGTTTTCAGTATTCCACGCGGAACCGCATTTGGCCATCCTTCTTCTTTACAAGTGCTACCGGCGAACTCCATGGGCTCGCTGATCAAACATCACATCACTATCGATCATTTCTTTAATGGTCTGACTTACAACTTCACGTCTGGCAGGTGGAACACTCCTAGAAGCTTGACAGATTGGTCCTGCATCACTAGTTGGTCCGGCCTGGTTTGTTGCCATCCTTGTCGAATATGTTGGAGTATCTGGTGAGCTCCTTGCCTTATCAAACCTTTCGTCCATACATTGATGTCTTCCGCAATGTCATTCTCGTTAATGGAAACGCTTCCAGGTAGCTTTTCGCAGTTGAATATGGCCTCCACCTCTTGACATTGTCCCAGTACAGTTCCTCTTCGAAATTGGATTGGTGATTAAAACTCATTAGGTTCTCGAACTGGAATGTGTCCAGCTTTGTGCGTCTTAGCCAGGGTTTTACCAATAAGTACGTCCAGTGTAGAATTTTTTGTTGCTTCAACAACCCACAATCTTCATCAATCTTCGCTCAAGCAATTGCTTCTGACTTCGATGGAATCTGAATCCAGTTGCTGTTCTTAACCTTGCTCCAGGCTTGGGTTTAGTGACCAAATCAGATCGAATGATGGAATGTGTAGCGCTCTTCTCCGTCTACATATCCACCATCAGTGACGTTGCTCGCATTGCTGCCTTTTTATGAGATGGAGATTATGGGGCATTAAATTACGTTTGCGTCCTGCCGAATTGTTGTTTCTGTTGGTCTGGCTTTCCACATTTAACGCATTTCGCAGAGTCATCCTTTTTTCGCACAGCAGTCGGATTATTTTCTTCAGCATTTCATTTGTCAAGTGTGGGGTTTCAACTTGCACTCGATGCCTGCCTTATACGCTGGTCTACTTAGGAGCTCTGCCGTTTCCTGCGTCTGGTTATATGATAGTTTCAGGAAAGTTGGAAAATAAAAATGAAAATATTTTTCA